CTGTGGCCCCGAGTGTTGCAGACCATACAGACTGCAGGCTCTGAGGAACAGACTCTAGCCACCTAACAGTTATAGCAAATTGTTCTTCATCTTAGTGTTCAGTTATGTTTATTATTAAATGCAGACATGAAGCCGTGATATCCACAGAGAAATGTAATATTTTCCTAAAAGCCAAGACTGTAAAATTCCAAACAGGCAAAGTTCTTTCCTCAGAGAATGCATTCAAAGTAAATTGGGTGGCTCCCTGGTCTCTGTTCTAAGGACAATAGGAATGCCCTCCCTAAAGCGTTTCCAGGTGCAGCCTATTCACCCAGGCGTCTCTTTTCCTGAAGAACCTGGGCTGGGCAGCCGACACAATGGGATTCCTCCCAATCCTCCCTTTCCTCCCCCCATTTGAGGCTAGGTGCTAAAAGGTATGTTAATTAAGCTTGAGAAACCTAGTTGCCGTTGTGAGATTCGAACCTGTAAAGTACCATGTAAAGCTGCATGAATATCTGGAATAGTAAGATTGATAGCTGTAACTTGTCTTAGTCCCGCCCAGCTTTGTGTATAGTTCCTCCACTAAATAAAACGGAGGCGCAGAACGAATCCAGGTGCATTACGACTGGCAAGGCGTGCGTTACAGCATGCAGGGGGCTCAGTCTGGCATTGCAACCATACTTCCTGTTTAGCCAAGATGTTTACTATGCAGGATATTACGGCTGAGATGTTTGCAATGCAGGATCTGCCTGATGCCAGTCCCGCATCCACTCTGGTTTCGGGGTGTCTCTTTGTCTCTCTCTTTGTGTCTTTCTGTGTATTCTTTCTATATCTTTACCGCCGCCAGGTATCCCCACCTTGTGAACCAAACACCTATGTCGAGGCAGGTTCTCCGCATGAATCTAAGTAAAATTAATTCCTTCACAATTTTAATGTTTTCTCTGTTTATAATGATATTGCTTATTGGTCTAGTTGTGAGCTGTAATTCATACTGAAAGCTGTAGTGGTTTTTTTTTATTTTATCTTCATCAGTAAGTGCTTGCAGCAAGCAAAACTGTATCATCTACATATAATAGGTTTCAATGCGTTCTCTTCCAGACTTTGATGCTATATTGTTCTTCATGTAGTCCTGTTTCTGGAGTTATCTGCTCAGCAAACAGAGTGATTAATTGTGGTAAAGCACACAACCCTGACACACCCCTTGCTTGATTTTAAAACTTTCAATATCCTCTTGTTCTGTTCTAATAACTGACTTTGAGAGGTCTGCTGTTGTTTTTAAGTACCATCGAGTTGGTTTCCACTTATAGCAACTCTGTACAGGGTTTCTGAGGCTGTAAATCTGTGCAGGAGCAGAAAGTCTCATCTTTATCCACTATCCTTGTGGTTTTCAAGACAGTGCTTACCCTACAGAGTCACTGTGCTCCCTTCTGAGTAGTTTACAAGAGGTAAAAACAATCACTTCTTATTAAGGGACAGGGTAGGTATAGGAGGAGCAGAAAAAAACCCTGTTATAGATATCAGTTCATTTAACAGTTCTAGTGTGAGGCTGTAGGATAAGCACTGGACCGCAGGTCAGTTTGAACTGCAAGGCTGGCAGTTCAAATGCACCAAGTGCTCCTTGGAAACCCTATAAAGGATCGCTGAGTTGGAATCGACTTGATGGTATTTAACAACATCAACATTATATACATTAATACAGGGGTTTTGACAGGGCAGTATTTAAAGAATTTGGATGCTAGCTGAAATATCAGCAGTTCAAACCCACCTAGTGGCTCCACAGGAAGATGTGCAATTCAGAAGATTACAGCTTGGAAACCCTGTAGAACAATTCTATTCTGTCCCATTATTGTATCGATAGGTGCCATCAAGTAGGTTCTGACTCTTTGTAGAGTTTCCAAAGTTTAAATCTTTGCAGGGACAGAAATTCTCATCATTATCATGTGGAGTGGCTGGTGTGATTGAACCACCAACCTTGTGGTTGACAGTCCATGTGATTTTCTTACAGCACCACCTCACTCCCTTCTGTCCTAGTGGGTCTCTAGAAGACAGAACTGATTCGATGGAAATGGGTTTGGTTTTTGGTTTTGGTGTATTAATGTACAACATGAAATTTCTGTAATGCTCTTAAACCATGTATATACAAGATGTATTACATATAAGGTATTTTATTATGTTCTGTAATATGCCTAAGGCATTATTATGTTTGCTTCAATACATGCTTTTAAATCATCTATGCACAAGTGATTTGTAATATGACTAAAAAGTAGAAAACCTCTGAATTGAAAAATAGGAAAACAGAAGTATATGAAACATGTGAAATATTTTGTAAACAACCTCTCTAAGTTAGCTTGACACATATCAGATATGACCAAAGAAATGTAATATAAAGTTATATCTCTCTGTAAAGTAGGCTTTGAGACATTAGGAACATTGTAAACAATCTCTAAATCTTTAAAAGGTGCAACGTTAACCAACTGTCTGACCTTGAAGAAAAGATGTAACACACTAAGTATGGAATCACATAGTTCCTAATGTGTGTGAAAAAATTCTTAAGTATGGACTTCTGTGCATGCTTTGAGAAAAGCTAGACGCAACAGCTCCGTCTCTAAAAGTAACTGTAATTGTTAATTCTGAGTCATCAATCTTCAATGATCATCTTGTGGTCGTTCCTGCGTGATTTGACAACCTTGCAATAAGCTGAACAAGTTTACATACGATAAGCGTGAACATATCTTTATTCATGTGTAAAATTAATATAGGGTAGTCTCTGAAGGAAGTGTGGCAAATCTGAGATTATACTGAAATCGTTTTCTTATATGGAAAGTTCTATTAAGAAACTGAAGCAATATAGAGGTCTGAAGAAAGTTACATGGTGAAGCCTTTATCATTTATAGTTGTACATTAAAAAAACATATGCAAATTTTTATGATTCTGTGCCTATTTTGTATAATATTTTATAGCGTACTTTTCAACAAGAGTCTCCCTATAATAGAGAACTATGTTTTACTAAAAGTCAAATTCATTTCTACTTGGTTCAAGAATAATTTCACACACAAACATTACCGTATAAATGTTCTTATTACATGAGTTTATTTACTGCTTAAAATAATCCTGCAATATTGAATCTAACAAACAAACAAACAAAAACAATAAAACAACAAAAATTCCAAAACTGATAAGTGGTAGGAATGGATTTGGTCCACATGTTCCCAAAGAATGTTCAAACTATTACGTTACCATAACGTTATTAATATAGTCACCGAGGCATTTGTTAAACACCAATTAAAATAACAGCAGATTTATTATGCTACATAAACATTCTTTTTTTTTTAAAATAAGGAAACTCAAACTGGGGCTGACAAAATTTTCATATTGGTATGCATTTGGAAACTGAACTGGAAGAAAAAAAAATCTGTAAATAGGTCAATTAACTCAAGCCTAATTTTTAAAATGAGTGATGGGAAACTGAATATTTTAGAGTTTATAACAAATGGGAACTGGGTAAATACTGTTAGCAAAATTCCTCTTTTTGTTTTAACTCTCTATATATTTTGCTTTGGCTTTGTGGATGATTTACTCATTTTACTTAAATAATAGTTTAGTATTCTTTAAACACTAACTATAAAAAATTATGTAACTATAAAAATCATTTCCCTTCCTTTAGAATGACTTAAATTTTTAATGAAACTCAGAGATAAATGAGCTAGACTTTACAAAAAAAATTCATCTGAATTGGAAGAAAGGTGTTAAACTAATAATGAGGAGTATTTACTAATGTCTTTATGTAATTCATTGGAAGGGCATAGAGGTTATGTAACTATTTTGAAATAGATTAACATGTAATAAAATTACTTTCAAACACAAAATATTCATAATCCACTTTCTTTAAATACAGATACGCCTGTGAACTAAAATACGGATAGTCTGTCACCATCACGGGTAAGAGTGTGGCATCCTATGTAAAGCAATGAATTTAGTTCTCCTTGGAAAATATTATTGGTGAACAGAAATATGTATTGCTAAGAACACAAAAGAGTTAATCTAGATCTCAGGAGGATTCGTGTGGAATCTCGATGTGGCACTGTAGGACAAACACTGGGCTACTAATCACAAGGTTGATAGTTGAAACAGACCAGTCACTCCTTGGACTACTTACTATACAGGGTCGTTATAAGTCAGAACTGACTTGATGGCACTAACAACAGGGATTCACAGGTGTTTCAACAAACCTAATAATTTTCTGATAAGATAGGTAAGTGATATTACTTAAAACTGGTGAGGAAAAAAAAATCAAAGTTTTACGTTCCTAAAAAAATAACACATCTCTTTGAATTTGGCATTCATGTTTTGGGTTCACTTTTTGTTCTACTGCCAACCTTTTGCTTCTGGCCCAATCTGACATTTTTGCATTTAACCTAAAACATATCCTGAAATGATGAAAGTTATGACCAAAATAATGATTGTTTTATGCTCCGGTGTACAACAGAATTATCAAAGTTGACTGCTTAAATGCAGACTGCCAGATCTCACTCCTAGAGATTTTAATTCCACAGATTTAGGGCACTCTCATGCACCTGTATTTTTATATAGAATGCATGTTGTCAAACACTGGTCTATTTAATCACCATCAATGCAGAATGAAGCTGCATATTCCATATTACCTTTGTCATTTTCAGAACTATTCATTATTTTGGCATTTCTTATTTAAAACTGTATACTGCTCTCTCTAGAACATATATACACTCATGTTTCTACGCACTGCCACCTGACAGAGGGATGAATGGAGAGATACAAAGGCAGATAGCTACAGGTAGACTGATTGAACCATTCATTTATGTAACATAAACTAAAGCAAGCAGGTATGTTGTCGTTGAATCAGAAAGTGATTCCAAGTGTTTTAACATTCAAACGCACTCTTAGAGATTATTTTCTAAAAAAAATAAATCAAAAGAAAACTATTACTGAAATTCTCTGGAAACGTTCCTAGAAGTTTCCAGCATTAACAACAGTAGGTAACTTACCTGTCATCCCGCTGAGCAGCACCACCTTCTGTTACTGTCTTGACAAATATTCCCAGTTTTTCAAGTCCAGCATCTGCTCCAACACCCATTCCAATAATACTTATCCCAAGTCCATCCTCATCTATAAAAATGGGAGAAAAACACAACCATCTAAGTTTTAGAGTAGTTCACATTTAAGTGGTGAGGTCTATTTGCTGCATCTGATCTGTTTTCCTGTCTGTGTGGACACACATACTTGTATTAGAAGAATTTTTCGTATTCTAAGAAGTAATAATGTGAATTGAGACTCCAAAAAAGATAACTGGGTTTAGTTTCATGTTTACTAATGCTTTTTGCAATCCATTATGACTTTTTTAAAAGGTAAATATTTAACTTGTTGTTGTTGTTATGTGCCATTGAGTCGGTTCCAACCCATAGCGACCCTGTACAGGGTTTCCGAGGCTGTAAATCTTTACAGGAGCAGAAAGCCTCATCTTTCTCCCACGGAGCAGCTGGTAGTTTCAAACTGCTGACCTTAAAGTTTGCAGCCCGATTCATAACCATTATGCTACCAGAGATATTTAATTACTGAATAATAAATCTCTCTTAAGATTTATTAGTACTATGAGTTATTGAAGCCATTCTTATAATTTTAAGTAAAGATGCTCAAAACAAATCAGAAATTTTCCCTTTATTCATGTGGTATGCTTTTCTTTTATACTTGTACCATAGTTGTTGATAAAACATATTTTTAGTACTTTCCTTTAGGCTACGATACAAAATTGTGCTTATCTACTGGTGGTGCAATAATTAAAGAGTAAGTTGCTAACCAAAAGGTTGGTGATTGAAACTCACCCAGCAGCTGTGTGGTAGACAACACCTGGGAATCTAAACAATCCTAAGCTGAAGTTCTACTGTTATATGGGAGTGCTTTATTTAAATAAAAACTCAACTCGGTAACACCTAACAACAAACACAACACAATATATGCATGTATATTAACTCTAATACCAAAACCAGGTGAAGACATCACTAAAAAAGAAAGTTAGAGACCAAGCCCTTATGCACATAGATGCAAAATTTCTCAACAAAATCCTAACCAATAGAATCCAACAACATAACAAAAAAGTAATACATCATGGCCAAGTGGGATTCATATAGGAATGGTATAATACTAGAAAAAAAATCTATGTAATTCACTACGTAAATAAAACAAAGGGGAAACACCACATGATCATATCATTCAGTACAGAAAAGGCATTTGATTAAAAGGTAAATTTCTGATAAAAAGGCTCAACAAAATAAGAATAAAAGGGAAATTTCTCACCATAATTAAGGGTATATATACAAAAACAAAGGAGCTCTGGTAGCGTAGTGGTTACGAATTGGGCTGCGAACCACAAGGTCAGCAGTTCGAAACTACCAGCTGTTCCGCGGGAGAAAGATGAGGCTTTCTGCTCCCGTAAAGATTTACAGCCTCGGAAACCCTGTACAGGGTCGCTATGAGTCAGAATCGACTCCATGGCACATAACAACAACAACAACATACAAAAACAAAAGCCGACATTAAACCTCAACAGGGAGAAAATGAAGATATTCACCGTATAAAACAGGAACCAGACAAGGATATAGTTTAAAACCACTCCTATTACATATTTTTTTATTCTTTCATCATACTTATTCAGTGTATGTGCTAAGCAAATAATCTGAGAAACTGGATTGTATGAAGGAAAACATGGCATCAGGATTGGAGAAAGCCTCATTAACAACCTGTGATATGCAGATGATACAACCTTGTTGCTGAAAGGGAAGAGGACTTAAAATATTTACTGATGAAAATCAAAGAGCACAGCCTTTGGTAGGGATTGCACCTCAATGTAAAGAAAACAAAAATCCTCACAACTGAACCAATAAACAATATGGAGATGAGACTGAAGTTGTTAAAGACTTCATTTTGCTCAGATCAATAATCAACACACAGGGAAGCAGCAGTCAAGAAGTCACACGACGCATTGCATTAGGCAAATCTGCTGCACAAGACCTCTTAAAAGTGTTCAAGAGCAAAGATGTCAGCTTGAGGACTAAGATGTGCCTGACCCAAGCCATGGTGTTTTCAACAACTTCATTTGCATACGAAAGCTGGACAGTGAATAAGGAAGACTGTAGAAGATTTGGTGCTTTTGTGTTATGGTGTTGGAGGAGAATACTGAAAGTACCATCGACTGCCAAAGGAACATACACATCTGTGTTAGAAGAAGTACAGCCACAGTGCTCCTTGGAATCTAGGATGGTCAAACTTCGCCTCTCATACTTTGGATGTATTGTCAGGAGAGACCATTCCCTGCAGAAGGATATCATAATTGGTAAAGTGGAGGGTAGGAGAAAAGAGGAAGATACCCAGTGAGATGGATTGGCACAATGGTGGAGGCAATGGGCTCAGGTGCAGCAATGATTGTGAGGTTGGCGCAGGACCCGGCAATGTTTCATTCTGTTGTGCACAGGGTCGCTGTAAGTCAGAACCAACTTGATGGCACCTAACAACAACAATTCAATATTGTACTGAAAGCCTGAGCCAGAGATATAAGAAAGAGGAATCAAAGGCATCCAAATTGGTAAAAAAAAAAAAAAAAAGGAAGTAAAACTCTATTTGTAGAGGGTAAATTACTATGATTTAATGAACTTGGCCTATACTCATGGAGGTAGTAACTCTAAATTCTAACAGAGAGGGAAGGAGTCTTCACATCAAGTATCAGGGCTATCCCCTATGTACACAGGATAGATAGGGGTGGGCAACTTAGACACTGGCTACCTAACATGAGGGGGCAATAAAGACATGAAGTGACTGGCTTACAAGGTTTCAAGGAGGGGTTTAGTTTAAAAGTGCGTGGGGAAAGAAAGAGTACCTACTGAATAGTTTTCATCTTGTCTACATGGGTCTGGTGAAAAGAGATGGAGATAAGATTCTTATGATTTAATAGTGAGTGATAGTTATCATGACTAATTGCAACAGTCACAATCGTAAAGTAGAAGTTGTATAACAAAAACAGGGGAGTAGTTAATCTTACAGTCCAGAAACAGAGGACCCTAGGACCATCAAGGGAGAAGAGCACAAGTGTTATGTGAGACCTTATCCAGAGAAGCAGCAATACCAGAGATGGAGGCAGTGATGGGGACATGGAGAGAGGGAGCAGCTGAGGACTCTAGATTCATGGGAAGTTAGGGACTAAGAGCTGGTGGCCAGGAGGCTGACTTGCAGAATGTACCCTTTGGTGTTGTAAATTATTATATATACACCTATGTGTTTTTTTTTAAAAAAAGCGCTAAAGTGAATAGATTTGTTTAATGTAAAACTGATGATCTTCCCTGTAAACATTCACTCAATTCACAATAAAAGTCTTAAAAAAACCAAAAAACTCTACTTGTAAATGATGTTACCCTATACTTAGAAAATTCAAAGGCTCAGCAAAAAAATTATTAGGATTCATTGACAGATTAAGCAAGGTGGCAGGGTACAAGTCAACACACAAAAATCAGTTGAATCTTATACTGATAAGAGAGCTCTGAAAAGATAATCAAGAAAATAATACCATTTGCACAGAACACCCATTAAATGGATATTCTGTGCCATTTAGTGGGTCCATATTCATAGCTACATGATATAGGGTTTCTGAGGCTGTAAATCTTTATGGAAGCATAAAGTCTTACCTTTCCCCATCGAGTGACTGGCAGATTCTAACTGCTAACCTTGCAGTTAGCAACCCAGCTCAGTCCACTATGCTATCATTTGCAATGTTATTTGTCGCTGAGTTGATGCTGACTCAAAGCAACCCTGCAGAAGGTGCTATACAGGGGAACATCTGGTGGGTTTGAATTGCCAAAATCATGGTTTCCAGTGCTTATACTATAGTGCCATATCAGGAGTCCCAAAATATTAAATTGTTTTTGCTGTTAAGTACCATCGAGCCACTTCCAACTCGTAGCAACTCTGTATAGGGTTTCCTAGGAGCTGCTGGTGAGCTTGATCTGCTGACCTTGCAATCCAAATCGACCTGGCAGTCCAGCACATTAGCCCACAGCACTACACCAATACTTACAAATAAATCTAATCAGAAAAACAAAAGACCTATACAAAGAAAACTATACAACACTACTACAAAAAAACAAATGAGACCTAAAAAATGGAAGAATAAACTATGCTCATGGATAGAAAACTAAACACCGTGAAAATGTCAATACTACCCAAAGCAATCTATAACTATAATGCAATACCAATCCAGGTCCCAGCATCATCACTCTTTAAGCAAATGGAAATACTAATTGCAAACTTTATATGGAAAGGAAAGAGACCCCAGATAAACAGAGCATTACTAACTAAAATATAACAAATTCAGAGGCCTCTCACTTCCCAATTTCAAGACTTACTACACAACCCCAGTTGTACAGCCTGGTGCTGGTACAATAAAAGCCACATAGATCAATGAAACTAAATTGAGAACCCAGATGTAAATCTATCCACCTCAGCTGATCTTTGGCAAAGATAGAATCTTCAAAAAATGGTGCTGGAAAAACAGGAAGTCCATTTGAAGAAGAATGAAACAGGACCCGTATCTCATACCATAGACAAAAACAAACTGAATGTGTATTAAAGACCTAGATGTAAACCTCAGCTTTATAAAGATCATCAGTGAAAATACAGGGACAAATTTAGGTGCTCTGATACATGGCACAAACACTCTGTTAAACATAACTGAAAACACACAAACAACGGTAGACAAACTAGATGACTGGGACCTCCTATAAAGGAGATACTTATAGACATCAAAATATTTCATCAAAAGAGAAAGATGAGATCCCAAAGATGGGAAAAAGTCTTTGGTAGTGTCATATCAGACAAAGTACTGACCTCTAAAATATATAGAACACTTCAACACCTCAAGACAAATAATTCACTTAAAAAATTGCCAGAGAGAATCTCCAGTGAGTACTATCCAATCTGCTGATGAAATGAAATGTAGAAGGGTCACTTGTGATACAATAATGAATGATTGTTATCAGGACTGATTGTGAGGGTTGGAAATGTAAAGGTAGATGTGTGGCAGCAAGGAAGGGAGTTATTAACTCTCCAATCTAGGAGCGGAGGTC